GCCATCACCACGGGCCCAAGAGGGCCACCGCGTGGGGGCCGCACACCCAGCCCCCGGGACAGGCTGCCATAGCTGGGGATGTCCCGGGGCTCGGGGCTGTCAGGAAAGCCACTCCCACTGCTGAGGTAGGTTCGAGAGAGCGTGGCCGCCGGGCCACCCCCACGCAGCAGGAAGTGCCGGTCCAGGGTGCCATCACCGAAGTGTCCTAGCGGGGGGCCACCATCCAGAAGGGGGAGGCCGTCTGGGCCCATGGGCACCTGGCGCACGGTGCGTGTAGTCACTGTCTTGACCATCTTGGTGACCTGGTGAGTAAGTAGGCAGCCAATGGGCCGGGCAGCCTGAGAGGCCCAGACACTGCCCACGGGGCCCAGAGTGGCCTCGGTCTTCCACCCGAACAAGTGGCCTCCAGGAAGCTGGGGCACGCGCCCACTCTACACACGGGACAACTGCGGCTCCATAGCCCACTTGTCCAGCACTTGGGCCCAGCCATACCTTGGTCTCCGTGCGCCGCGTAGTGCCATCTTCTGACATGACGATGGACACGTGGGAGGTGGGGGTGCCGGGGTCCTCCTCCACCGTCACGGTCTCCTCCAGCACCTCCGGCGCCTCCGGCATTGTGGCCAGTGAGACCTGGCTGCCCGGGCTCTGCTCCTGGGTGAGGGGTGTGGGTGTCGGTGGGAGACCCAATGCTCACCCTGCCCTAGAGTGCAGGTGGGTGCTGGCCTGGATGCGAGCAATGACTTCATCCCCGCCCTCAGAACCCACTGACCGGAGGGCCTGTTTCAGCCCCAGCTGGTGAGGACAGCACGTGCCTGCCTCTGAACGCTGAGGGGCTGACCTTGCCCTGTTGCCCCATCCCAAGGGGGGCCCCCAGAGGCTGACCCCCATTCCAGGGCCTCCTGGAGCTGAGCTGGCAGAAAAGGTCCCGTGTCTTAGCAGTGAGGCCTGACTGCAGCAGGCTCCTGGGGGCCCAAGGCCAGGCAGGACCCACTGGATGTCCTCCAGGTGTCCTGGGCCACCTCCCTGCCCCACCTCACAAATGCTGAGTACAGAGGCCTTAAGGGGCAGTTTTAGTAGCGTTCACCAACTCGCTGTGGCCACACCGAGGCTCCCCTGTCCCTAAAGCCAGCCAGACACCCTCGCAGACCAGAAATACCCAGCTCCCAGAATGCCCTGTGCACTCGGAGGACCAAAATATCCTCACACTCCTTCCGGCTCAGACACTCTTAGGGTGTTGAGTGGGCAAGGCCTAGTCCTACCATCACTAAGACCCTGAGAGCCCAGAGACTGGGTTCAGGCCAAGGAGTGAGTTCAGACCAAGGGGGCCCGGCTTGTCCTTGACAAGAACACCAGTGTCCCCTCCCTGTTCACCACCCCAGGTCTCCCCAACCTTGGCCCTCTGCTCCTGAACACCTGCCTCATTCTCAACCTGCT